AAGGCCTCGGGGAACCACATCCGGCTCCCGGGTCTTAGGTTGCCTACAACTGTGGAAGGCCACAAAATATCATTTTTATTATTTCCATTTATTTTTATTATTTTATTTTTATTTTTAAAAGTCCCCCCCCTCCTAATTCTCTTGTATTGCTTGATACACTCTTGTACAGGGGTAGGCAACCTTTTTGGGCTGGGGGCTGGGTTGCTGTCCCTCAGACAATTGGGGGGGCCGAAGCACCAAAAATAAATAAATTAAAATTAAAATTAAAAAATTAATAAAAATTAAAAAACATATGCATGCACACTCTCTCAGCCCCAGAAAAGCCATGGCAAAACCCCTGTGGAGATTTTGCCAAAAAAACCCCAAGAACAAGTAATAACAACAATAATCAATATCATTATGGTAGGCGGTGGTGGTGGCGGCGGCAGGACCAGACTTGGGCCGGTACAAAGGCCTCGGGGGGCCACATCCGGCCCCCGGGTGCATAGGTTGCCTACCCCTGCTCTTGTAGATTGGTGGAGTCAACAAGAAAAATAGTCAGGCAACAATGTTACTGACAAACTGTATGGGGCTTATATTTGTTTCTTTTTTCTTATAGTTGTGTATATTAGTTCTCTCTCAGATGTAAACATAAATCTTCTGAGCCCTTTGTGGGAAAATTAAATTTCATCTACCATGTGAGTAATAAATAATTTCTCAGTAAGACTAGGCCGCAAACATAAAAGGTACTGACAGGAATTGTTCCACAGTATATTATGTCTCTGAATCTGAGGAGAAATTCCCTTCTCCTTGAACATGAAGGCCTGTTGAAAGATGTCAGCATGCCAGAAGAGGGAGGGAAACGCTGTTATTTTCAGTCAGGTTCTTGCCTTTGAAAGAGAACAACCATCTGTCTGAGAAGCTCTTATTTTCTTCAAGTTAGGAACTGTTCTCTTTAGGTCCTCCTCCAATAAAAAAAGCATTCTTCTATCCCCTTTTCTTGGTATGTTTGTCCTTTAGTTAATAACTTATTTTCTGAAGTGAATTGGACTGAATTTTACCTCAGAACGCTATCTCTAAAGGCCCACTTATTAGTCAAGGTTACTTGTATAGTAAAAATAAAGCCAGCATGGTGTAGTCGTTTGAGTGTTGGACTATGATTCGGAAGGCCCGGGTTCAAATCCCAGCCATGTAAACCCACTGGGTGACCTTGGGCAAGTCACACTCTCTCAGCCTGAGAGGATGGCAATGGCAAACCCCCTCTGAACAAATATTTCCAAGATAGATTTGTCTTAGGGTCTCCGTAAGCTGGAAACAACTTGAAGGCACATAACAACAGATAGTGAAAATAAATAAATAAATATTCTTTGTGTCAGTTGTACTGCTACGTGTGGCCGTTTTATCTACAAATATGCTTGGGGACAATCCTTTGTGACCGGCATTAAAGAATTCACTAATAAAATGTATTGCTGACACACATTTATTTTTTTTAATCTTTGTATGGGAGCCTGTGAAAGCAATAAGGATTCCTGTGGTGATCTTTTTTTAAAAAAAATCTTGGTCACTGTGGAGAAATATATATATTAGATCTCTGAAAATCTAAAAAAGGTCCTCCAGGAGTGGTTCCTGAGGTAAAGTTGTACTGGTATTGTAGCAAGGGCCTATCTCCTTGTACTGAGAGAGAGAGAACTAGATCCTCACAGCATGGATCCCCCTTTGAAACCTTCAGCTTCAGTAGAGGCACCTGAACCTACTAATTCAAATACAAGGGTATCAGCCCCTATTTTGAGTTCTGCAGCAGAGGGACCACCTGCCATTTTGAGTCAGGTAGTTGAATCCTTTCTTGGAAAATGTGAGGGGAAAAAAAAAAAAAGAAACGGGAAAGAAATTAAAGTAAATCTTGAGCTCATAGGTTGCGTCCGCACTGAAAAATAATCCAGTTTGACACGACTTTAAAAGCCATGGATCAATGCTATGGAATTGTAGTTTTGTGAGACATTGTGACTTCTCTGTCAGCAAGCTCTGGTGCCACAGCAAACTACAAGTCCCAGGATTCCATAGGACGACAGTTAAAGCAGTGTGGAAACACATTAATTCTGCAGGATGGCAGCAGCCATAGACAACACCATCCTTATGCTACGAATGCGTCTTCTTTAACTGAAATCTGTCTTCTTTAATTGAAATTGCAAACACTGTTTTAGCAGCCTAAACACATTCATGGAGATATGGGCCAAGGCTGCAGTTTCTCTACCACAGGGGTAGGCAACCTTTCTCCTTTAAGGGGCGAGGGACTTCAGCTCCCAGAATCCCAGGAGCTATTGGCCAACATGGGACTATTGGCCAGCATGGCTGAAGCTTCTGGGAGCTGAAGTCCCTTGGCCCTTAAAGGGGAAAGGTTGCCTACCCCTGTTCTCTGAAATTTCTGATATTTCGTTTGTAGCATGTTCAGCCCTCCTGTAAGAATGACAGTTGATTAAATAGTATTAAAATTCAAAGTGGAGAGCCAGTGTAGTGTAGTAATTTGAGCATTGGACTACGACTCTAGAGAACAGGGTTTGAATACCCACTCAGCCATGGAAACCCACTGGGTGAACTTGGGCAAGTCACACAATCTCAGCCTCAGAGGAAGGCAAAGGCAAAACTACTTCTGATGAAATCTTGCCAAGAAAATTCCATGATAGGGTTAGCTTATGGTTACCATAGGATGGAAATGACTTGAGGGTAAACAACAACAACATGCCTAGTGATTATGAAGTACAGTGGGTCTTTGTGGTTTGATTTCAGACCTCCCCCCCCCCCCCCCCCCCCCCGTGGATACGCAAGTCCCATTATATACAATGTCATATTTAAATGCTGTCCTTTGTATAAAATGGTAAAATCAAGCGTTGCTGTTTGGATTGGGGGGGGGGGGACCTGGAACATTTTCATGCCATGGATGATTGAATCTGTGGATGCAGAATCCATGGATATGGAGGACTGGCTTTAATCTTGTTTATATCCTGTTGAAACTTTCTGAGGTTTTCTTCTAGTAATACATTGTAAAAGACTGTGGTCCAAACATGCTGCAGAAATAATCTCATTTAAGATTACCTGCTCAGTGTTAGGGAATCCTGGGAATTTATTGTACCGAATTTTACCTCAGAGAAGGCTAACTATCTCACAAAACTACAGTCCCCAGAATTCCTTAGCATTGAGCCAGGGCAGTTAAAGTGGTCTCAAACTGGATTAGTTCTGCAGTGTGTTTTGGACCTGTATGACCGTTGAGTCATTGTATAGTGTGGTGGCTAGGGAAATCACTAGAAGCCATTTGATATAAACTTTCATATATTATAGAAAGACAAAACTAGATTAGCTTTTCATAGAATATTTTAGTACTTGCATAGTGGTGTGTTATGTAGTTATACTTTAGTAAGACATGTGTCATAAATGTATAATTTAATTATCTTTATACACCATCACTCTGAATATTCTTTGTAGAGGTTTAAGATCATTCATACTGGTTTAGAGGTCAATATTTTTGCTTCTGAAGCATCTTCTATGGCAGGGGTTGGCAACCTACGGCCCGCTGACTGGCCCCCGCCGACCCCCGCCGCCACTGCTCCCATTTTGCCTTCCAAAATGGCGTCTGCGACTCGTTTGAGCATGCGCAGTACTCCTGCGCATGTGCGAACGAGCTGCAGCCACCATTTTGGAAAGCAAAATGGCGGCTGTGGCGTGTGCGGCCAAAATGGCACCCTAGAAGAGGCCCATCGCCGCCGAGGGAAGCCTCCCGGGGGGCACCCACGGCGGCGCTGGGCCTCTCGGAGGGAGCCCTCCTGGGGCCACCTGCCACCGTGCGCATGAGCATGCGGGAGGGGGTGCCGCCCGCCATTTTGTTTTTCAAAATGGCGGTGTGCGCACCCACACTGGCCCCCAGTGCCATCTTCCCTCCCCGGCCCGTCAGCAAAAAAGGTTGCTGACCCCTGTTCTATAGAATAACGTGGTTTCTTTCAGCTGCTCTTTGTTGTTTGAACTAGCTTCAGCAGGAAAAGTGGAAAAGTACACATGACATGTAACAGCTTTATAGAAATAAAGATTGCTTTACAAAAACCACAAATTAAATGTGAAGTATGCAAAGTATACAAAATGTAGTTTTTTGTATGCAAAATATTTGTATACAAAAACTAAATAGAAACACTAGTGCATTTGTAGTAATATATTTGTATCTTTGGAAGATGATCAGATATATTTTTT